CTCGGTGTGTGAAGGGCGATGTGGGAAGAGGTGAAGCCCAGGGCGTCTGCTGAGTTTAATCTGGGTTATTGTCGCGGGACGCAATGTCTGCATCCGCTGCGCCCCAGCTCCTAGCGGTCAGCTGCGCCGCCGAGGCGCTGCCCGTAGGGGGCGCCGCTCCCAGCTGCTCCGGCCCCTGACCTGGCACACTGGGTTCAAAGACCCAAGGGGTACGGGGTGGGGGGGACTGTAAGGCCCACGCCAGACATCTTCACACATTTCCAGCCTGGCGAGACTCCCACCCGGGCAGGGCCCCAAGAACCCAGTCCTTGGCTTTGCCCTGGGCTCCAGGCCTCAGCCGCTCTACTACAGCCCGGCCACCAGGCCGGATTAAATGCATCCTTTATTTTGTTTTCCTTTGGAGACAGCGTTTCTCTGTGTAGCCCTGGCTGTCCTGGAGCTCACTCTGTAGAGCAGGCTGGGCTCGAACTCAGGTCTGCTTCCCCGGTGCTTGCAGTAAAGGCGTGGGCTGCACTGCCTGGCTCTGTTTTGTTTTTGAATTCTTTTTTTGTTTGTTTTTCGAGACAGGGTTTCTCTGTGTAGCTTTGGAGCCTATCCTGGCACTTGCTCTGGAGACCAGGCTGGCCTCGAACTCACAGAGATCCGCCTGCCTCTGCCTCCCGAGTGCTCCCTACACAACCAACGCCCGGCTTATTTTTTAACTAACTTTATTTATATATACTTTCTTTTGTTTGTTTTTGGAGGAAGGGTTTCCATATATAGCCTTGTTTACCTGAAATTCTAAATTCTTTTTGAGTTTTTTTGCATATATATATATATATATATATGTTTATTTCAGCCAAATTTCCCGTCCCCCTCTCCTCTCCTCTCCTCCTCCCCCATCTACTCCTCCGAAGCTCCATCCAAATTATTCGTGTGTTCTCGATGTATAACAGGTATATGAATTGCTTGATGTATGTTGTGGATTTGTTTGTTTCCAGATAGGATTTCTCTGTGTCGCCCTGGCCATTCTGTTCCAGGCTGACCTCAAACTTGGAGATACGCCTCCCTCTGCTTCCTAAGTGCTGGCATTAAAAGCGAGCGCCACCGCCCCACTGCTGCGCTTAAAATACATTTCTTTTTGTTTTTTCGAGACAGGGTTTCTCTGTGTGGCTTTGGAGCCTATCCTGGCACTCTCTCTGGAGACCAGGCTGGCCTCGAACTCACAGAGATCCGCCTGCCTCTGCCTCCCGAGTGCTGGGACTAAAGGCGTGCGCCCCCACTGCGGGGTTTAGGAAAGATTTTGTTGACTTTCCCCGTTCCTGTTGGCTGTGGGCCCTGGCCTCGGGGGTGAGCCCCTCTCGGTACGGTCTGCAGTTGGTGCAGCCTTTACAGAAGCCCAGCAGATGAATGCAGCGGACACGGTGACCCAGGGGACACGGGGGACTCTCAAGGCCTCCTGGAGGCAGCAGCCCACTGCCACTGTTTTGGTGGCTCTCCTGCCGATCAGAATCAGAGTAGGTCGGTATCAGACCTGCAGGGTGCCTGACCCGTGACCCTGTGGACGGCAGCTGGAGAAACACTGTCCTGGGGGGGACCCGCAGGTGGGCGTCTTGCACACCCAGAAAACGCTCAACGAGCTGACCGCAC